AAAAAAAGTAATTTTCTGTTTTGTTTTATTCTTGGATCGGGCTTTAAAGGGTTAACATAAGGACGGGATGCGAGTGCAGGGACACTTAATGATCAGGAGACGATAAACTTGCAGTTGTTATATTTAAGTAGATAAAATTCACAGTCGACTATGTTTACATTTTATGGTGACGATACCCTCCACTTTCAAAACATCGACGACAAGCAGAAAAGATCGATGGGCGAAAGAGGTACTAGCCTAAACCTCCTGTTTTAGTTGATGGTTTTTACTCCTTTCCTTAAATCATCCCTGCCTCCGGCTTATATTTGAATAATAGCTGTAACTGATTATTGATAAAGACGTATGAAGATTTTAAAATACCACTTTTTTTTTCATTAAACATATTATTTAAAAAAAACAAAAAGTGTTTTGAAGTCAGTTAAAATCTGTTGGATGCTGTTCTGCATGTGTTACAGGACAGCTTATTGGAAATGTAAATTATAAAAAGACGTCCTGTTCCTCAGAATAAGCCTGTAGTAGAGGTCCCTAATCAGGATTCTTTCTGGGTGTCGTCACAGCGGGCCGGCGGGGGGTGGGGGTGGAGACAGACTGACCTGCTCTGAGAGTCGCCGTGTTCTCAGGAAGAACCCCAGAAGACAGCCGATGACTACAGCCAACACGGAGAGGATGAGGAGTCCGTTCTGCTTCAGGACATTCTTCACCCTCACCCACACTGCTTCTAAAGCCACCGCCATCATGAGCTGCTTGTCCCCTGGGCTTTTAGTAATCCATAAATGTGGTTCTTCTAAAGCGTTAAACTCCAGGTATGATGATGAAAGCGAACAAAAATATAAAGAGAAACTCAACAGCCAAAACAGAGAGGCTATGATGTTCTAACGCACCTTTGGGATCAGCATCCCTGTCATCCTGACGCCGTGTCCGTCTGCCCTGAGCAAAGAGGATCCTCTCACTTTCCAGGCATCCCCGCCCACCCTGCTCCACCCATCAGCAGCCCTGCGTGCACTCACCCGCTGCCTGGGGGAGGTAGGGAGGGAGGGAAGAGCTGGTAAACCCTGTCCTGATGGTTTGACATCCACAATCCTGTTAGAGTGCCGCTGTATTAAACAGGTCCGAAGCTGGATTAAAGAGCTGTGAGCGATTTGACAGAGTTTATCAGAGAAAACTGACATGCTGACTGGAGAATCCCTCATGTGCTGACTTACGCTTTTATAAGTAGCAAAGACAACATTCACTAAGATGTCCAATCACCAGCTGAATATCTAATACTGCACTGATTACAAGACGCATATTGAGGAAGCATGCATTGTATTTTGAACATTAGGCCTATAGTCCCTCACAAAAAACAGGCAATGTACCATCATGAAACAATGATTGTCAGATTGCCAAGGGTTTTAATCTCCTAGACATTGTCAGCATTCTGTTGGACTGCATCAAATTTTCACATCTATTAGAATCAAAGTTTTAGGTGAAATAAGAGCAAACCTTTCATGTGTGGTGGGATTCTTCACAATAGGTAAGCCACTTGAGTGGCCACTGAACAGGTTGCTGTTCCATTGCAGAGCTACACGGAAACAGAAAACCATGCACACACACACACACTCACACACACCTATGGCCAACTTAGAGTCACCAGTCGACCTAACAGATGCGTGTTTGGA